AAATACGGCCGGCAGGCCGAACCGGACGGACCGGTTCCGGACGGCTTTCTTGCCGTCCGGCCGGCCGGTTCGGACACGGACGGTCCGACCGGCCGTGCTTTCCGGACGGCTTTTAGCTCGTCCGGCCGGCCGGTCCGGACGGCTTAAAGACCGTCCAGTTCCGGCGTCCGGACGGGCTAAAAGCCGTCCGGAACAGGCGACCGTACACGTATTTTTTCGTACCTCTGAATTTGACGACATTTCACCGTACACTTTCCTCTGAGATGTTTAGATAAAATGAGAAGGGCAAAATTGTCCAAGGGGGGCGGTAACTAGTAAAATGGAGGGCGGTGAATAGTAACGCCCTTTTTTTTCAATGGTAATGAGATATATTGCAATTAACTCATACTTAGATTTTTTAAATAGTAATGACTTGTTAGTAGCTTTGTTTCTATGATGCGATCTTACTAGTGTACTACCCGTGCGTTGCATGTTGGGAAATTATTCGAGGACCTCAATGGCAGGTCGATGGTTTTTACTTGATTTTAGTTTTGTAGAATTTGTTTTTTGACATCAGTGGCAGGTCGATGGAGTTCATTTGGTGCAAAAATCTTAGAGATTGTTCGAGGAGCTCAGAGGCAGGTCGATGGAGTCCATTTGGAGCAATTTATGGAGATTATTCGGCAACCTCGGTGGCAGGTCGATGTTTTTTTTTTTTTACTTGCTTTTGGTTATGTCGAATTTATTTGTCGACCTCAGTGGCAGGTCGAGGGAGTTCATTTAGAGCAACTCAAGGAGTTTATTTGCAGACCTCGGTGGTAGGTCGATGATATTTGAAATCAGCAAAAGAAAGACATCCTGTCTCGCGCGAGGGTCTTCAATTTTTTATGAGCTAACTAGTGGTTATCAACTAAAACAAACATGTTGTCTCGAAAAAATGATACTTCAATTTGTTATCAGCTAACTAGTTGGAGCAAACATCGTGTCTCGAGAAATGATAGTACGCACTAAACTATGTTTCATCATGCGTGAGGCATGTTGTTTACCACTATGCAACTACTAATGTGTGGATGGGTGTTGTTTACTAGTGTGCAGTTACTAATGTGTCATCATAGACGTACGCTTGTATTAAACGGACTGAAATTAAAATAAACAGAACGCGAGTCCCTCGAGTGAGTTTCCACGACAATAAGATAAAGATTATTAAATAAGAGAAGACAAGTTCCCACCCCAAGCATGGGCTGCAGTAAGATAGCCAGAAAACCACGTTTGCGAGATGTCACTTACTTCCACATGTAGATGGATCACTCTCAAACATAAGGGTAGACCGCCAGAGTCCTAAACTCGCCATTGTCACGGATGCCGAGGTTCTCCAGCTCGGACGTCTCACAATTGTAAAGCCATAGGTAACGCTCCGAGTCCTGAAGGAACACTTTATCATTCTTGTAGAGGCCGACGACGCTCGTAAAAACAGCACGAGTAGGACGAAAGACTGTGTGTGTGGATACATGGGACCAGATGCCCTTCTTCCATACCCAAATCTCGAAAATAAAAGGCGCACGTTTCTTCATCGTCTTCATCTTCTTCTGGATATTCTTCTTCGCCTTCATCTTCTTCTGGATATTCTTCTTCGCCTTCATCTTCTTCAGGATATTCTTCTTCTTCTTCATCTTCTTCAGGATATTCTTCTTCGTCTTCATCTTCTTCTGCTGCTGCTGTCTTGGACAATCGATATTCATACTTGTGTCATCCTGTCCATGATAATCGGAAACAATAGCAGCAAGCAGCCCATGAAACTCGGCAATACAAACACAATCACAATAGAAGTCCCAGAGAATTTCGGTACTGGGCATAGGAATTAGAGCAGGGGGAAACTCCTCCTTAGCAAAGTCGAACGAAATAATAGCAACATCTTCTTTGCTGGAATTCTTTGCTCTCCAATAATAAAAGCCATCAATGAAAAGTGAGTGGTACTCACTTACCTTCCACTCAAGATCATGGGGATACGGAATTTTCTTCCAAGTTTCAAGCGAAAATAGCTGCGCGTGGACTTCGTCGTCGGAATGAAAATACTCAAACACGCAACGTCTCACCACCTTATAGTCCTCAGGTGCAGAAGGATCAAACCCGATGCCGTAAACCCCCACGTACTGGAAAACTGAATGAGGCATGCGCGGCTCCACCGGAAAACTAGGAAGGGTTACAAGCACGTCGGTCCTAGGGTCCCACAGAAGCACACCCGATTCTGAGGGAATTTCGTTATATATGCACAGCATCCATGTGTTGCAACTCGCTAAGACATCATATTTGGCATTGTTACAATCGAGATCGTAGTTTTCAGCTTTGAGTCGAGACAGGTTTGGAAGACGATTATCATCATCTTGTAGCAATTTGAACGAGTTGTTTTCTGTTGAGATTACATAGTGAATGCGNTAAAAAAAAAAATACATACCTTTTGTACTACAGACTTTCAAATTTAAAGGATGGCCAAAAGGCCCAAAACACTTCTCAATACCGGAGTTCCATATTTCACTATTTGAATCACTGTATACATACATGGGAGGACTCCATAAAAAAATTAACTAAAAATCAAATTTATACAAACTACCCAAGTAACACAACAATCATTTAATTGTTTTTCAATACATATATAAATTATTTGAATTAGGCTAAAGCATAAGAGAAAACCTCATAGCAAGGTTGTATATTCTACTTGATGAAACCCTAAATGAATAAAAAATAAAAAAATAGATATATCATAAATAAGATATAACCAAAAGTACTTACAAATATAAGGAAAAAGATGAATACTCAAATCTCAATTGATATATTTCTGGTTTGCTCACTGCTCGTCGAGTCGCCCTATGTAAGTCGCAAGTTTCTCCCAAAATTCCAGACAACTTCATTTGCCTTTTAATTATTTGTTGAATGGGGTCAATTTACTTATTTGTTTAATAGAGTCAAGAATAATAAATTAAGTTAATGAAAAGAAGTGGAAGTGGAATTGTGGTGCATCTCCAAAACCAAAACGTTATTCTATTTACTTTAATTTATATTTTATTTTATTGTTTGAGGGGGACCAAATGTTTATATATGTATAATATTATATATTATATATCCATACTATTAAGAGATAAAAAAATGTTTGGGGGGGACCATGGCCCCCTCTATCTTAAGTGTAGGTCCGTCCCTGGTAATAATTTCTAACTCGTAACACGATAATATTCTAACGTCCAATTTATATTATAATCAACATGTAACATAATAATTTGTAACTCCTAACACGATAAACGTCCAATTTATATCATAATCAAGTCTAAAATGTAACATAATAATTTATAACATAATAATATAGTCCAATTTATAACATAATTATTTCGAATAAATAACATAATAATTTAAAAAAAAAAAAAAAAAAAAATGGCCGACCGGCCGGCCGAACCGGACGGACCGGTTCCGACCGGCCGTCGTTTCCGGACGGCTTTCTTGCCGTCCGGCCGGCCGGTTCGGACACGGCCGGTCCGACCGGCCATGCTTTCCGGACGGCCGGTTCGGACGGGCTATAAGCTGTCCGGAACCGGCGGCCGGACACGTAATTTTTCGTACCCCCGAATTTGACGACATTTCACCGTACACTTTCAATTGAGATGTTTAGAAAAAATGAGAAGGGCAAAATTGTCCAAGGGGGCGGTGACTAGTAAAATGGGGGGCGGTGAATAGTAACGCCCTTTCTAAAACTACGTTTAACTTGAACCGGGTAAAACTACGAACTAATTCAAGGCCCGCAATTTAAAGTTGTTTTGGGCCGGTTGGGCCACATCTATACAGATGTTTTGATCCAATAGTAAAAATATTTTATTCACCCTTCTCCCATCCTCTACCCCATTTCGATGGCCTGCCTGTTTTCGAGGTCGTGCCCTATTTTGGGAATTTTTGTATCAATGTTCAGCTAGGTTTTCGCTGATTTCAAATTGGCCCCCAATTTTCTCTTCTCTAAGCTCCACCCCCAAAAAATTCCACCTTCTTGATCTCATTTCCTTTACTGTAATGGCGAAGAAACCCAAAAATCCTCTTAAAGATGCGGATCAAGATAACGGTTCCAGACCAAACGAGACTTCGAATTCCTCTACGATTTTCAAGGCCCTGTTTGGCGAAATCCCTGAACAGATTTTGACTTCTGATTCTATCTTCTCCGAGAGCAATCCGTTCCGTAGAGAATTGCTGGAAAAGAAGCAGAAGGGAGAATCTCGATTAGGAGTTTCAGGAGAAGATGGCGAGAACGAGGGTAATTTGGGGAAGCCCGACATTTCTGAGATGCCGCCGAAGATTAAACGAAAGAAAGATAAAGTTAAGAAGGAAAGTTCGGATCTTGAGAAAGAATTAGTTGAGGAGAAGAGTAAGAAATCGAAGAGGGACGGATTGAAGGTTGATGCAAAGAGTAGCAACAACAATTTGAGTTACGAGTTAAAAGAGTCTCTGGAAAATGATGCTGGACGTGCTCCAGGAGACGGTGAAAGTGGAAATTTTGGTGTTAAGAGTGATAAGAAGAAAAAGAAGAGGAAGAGAGATGAGGTGGAGACAGAGTACGAGGCTAGGAGATATGGAGTAGCTGATACGATGAATGAAGCGAAGGGGGAAAGTGGTGTGTTGGGGGAGAAGAGGAAGAAAATGGATAATCCGGAGGATATGATGGTGTCAAAAGAAGGTTTTGATGATGAGAGCAAGCTGTTAAGGACTGTATTTGTTGGGAACTTACCTCTGAAGTTGAAGAAAAAGGAAATAGCAAAGGAGTTTGCCAAGTTTGGTGAAGTTGAATCTGTTAGGATTCGGTCTGTCCCCCTTGCTGATGTGAGTTTCATTTGGATTCTTCTTCTTTTTTTATTTTTTTTATTTTTTTTTTGCAGTTGGCTTATGATTGGTGTAGTATGGGATATTTGGTAAACCGGGTCCATACTTGAAAAGGGAAATGTTGAATGTTGATAGTGCTGTTTTACAGGGCAAAATACCGAGGAAAGGTGCTGTTATCAAGAAGAGAATCAATGAAAATGGAGACAGGTTTGTTTCTGAATAAAATTTTCTCTACTTTTGTTTGTGGCTTGAAAGAGCATGCAGTGTTGAACTTTCTGTTTCTATGTATGGCTTGTATGGTTATAGTGTACATACTCAGGCTTCTCTACTGACCGAAAAGGGTAATCAGTGTACTGGGGATTGAAAATATTTATATAATAGAAGGGTTGATTTCCATGTGATATATAGCAGTTCCTGTTTAGCTAGTACCATTCCATGATTATTGGTTTAGCCCTTTCAAGCTTGGTATCTCCGCATGTTGTTACCACCTAAAATTCTATCTAAACTTGAGTTTTGTGCACTTGTTTAAATTAGAAAATTAGTCTAGTTGTGCTGCTTAATTATGAGGTCCATGATTTCAGCTCATGTTTATTGTTGTGGTGGATTCATCCTTAAGCTGATTGCTTATCTATGCAAGTTGTGTTGCCAGTTATGTGGATTTCAGCTATTTCTATCTTTTATTTTTTGAACAAAATTAGAAGATATCACAGTTTTTAGATATCTCTTCTTCTCTATATTGTTACATGGCCAGTTATGTGAGGACTAAAAGTTTTTTGTTGCATGATCTGAAGTATACACATGAAATTGGTTTATTATTGTATTTTTTTGCAGTGTTCATGCTTATGTTGTTTTCAAAACTGAGGAGTCTGCTCAAGCATCACTAGCTCATAATATGGCTGTCGTAAGTTTCATTTTGACCATATCTTTTTTACTTCCATTTTCCATGGACTATAGTGTCCAATAACTTGACAAAACTTGAGTTATTTTCCATCTGCGCGAATTCAGGTTGGTGGAAATCATATCCGTGTTGACAGAGCTTGTCCACCACGCAAGAAGTTGAAGGGAGATGACACTCCCTTGTACGACAATAAGAGGACAGTTTTTGTGGGAAACCTTCCCTTTGATGTGAAGGTACGAGTTATCCTCTGGAAAAGCAGCTGCTGCTTTTGTGTGTTATTTTGTTACCACTTTGAACATGTGCGTTTTTCTCACTTTCTTCCAGGATGAAGAGATTTATAAGCTTTTTAGTGGTATTAAAAATCTCGAGACTAGCATTGAAGCTGTTCGGGTTATTAGAGACCCTGGATCCAGCTTGGGAAAAGGCATTGCATATGTGTTGTTCAAAACCACGGTACGGAATAATATATTTGCACATGTAATATGTTTTACTTTTAAGTGTTTTTTCTCTAACTCAAAGTTTTGTTTCCTTTTCGTGATTTATTGTGGTTATTATAGTTGTTATAGTTGTTTTTGCTGTTGTTCTGCGTGTAAAGTTGATTTGAATATCATGTGGTTTTGCTTCTGATTTGAAACTCTGTAATAAATTTTTGATGTGTCATTTGACTAGCAAAATGAACCGTTATTTTTTGGTATTATAAGATAAATAAATTTATTAATATTTTCATGACCCTGCCTAGGCGCCTTAGGCGCTAGGCCCCAGTCTACCGCCTAGTGACTTTTAGAACATTGGTGTTATGAATTAAATAAGAACAATGCTGTCGTTACGGTTGTGCAAACATTGTCCTAAAAATGCAATAACGCAAAGTGGCTTGTGGGAGAACTATTGTTCTGATTTTAGATCATGAAAAATTGTCAAGAAGAATTTTGTACTTGCTTCTGCTAGTGATATTTTGTGGAGGGCTGAAAGTTGTAAAATGTAGCATGTAAAACCAGTAAGAGATGTAATTTAATTATATATTAGACAAGGCACATAACGACTTAGTTTCCTTTATAAAATGTTGTTTTGTTTACTAAAGGGACATAGCCACATGCTTGATATGGCCATGGACTCTCATGTAATGAAGTAAGGTGGTGGAATATGTACTCTATTGCACAAACCCATAATCGACTTGTCTTTGTAACCACTGAACCATGATTTACTCTTTTTTTTTTTTTTTTTTTTTTTTTTTTTTTTTTTTCATTCCTTCTGAAATGATATATACAACAGTTTGAAAAATTTGTGCTTAGTGAGCCTTTCCTTTCTGTCTCTAACTGCATAATGACATTCATATCCTCCATGTTCTCATTCATCTTAAACTAATTGGTCTTACAACTTTTGAACTGTTGTGTTCAATGGTAAATTGTTCTTTTCTCTGAGAATTCTCTTTCAGGATGCTGCAAACTTGATAGTCAAGAAACGTAACTTGAAGCTGCGGGACCGTGAGCTTCGTCTGAGTCATGCCAAGTCAACAACAAGCAACACTTCTTTGAAGAGAAAATCCCCTTTACAGCCACTGACTAAAAACACTCGTCCAGCAAAGAAGTTTGCATCTGTTCCCACAACTCCGGATAGCTGCAAGGCAAGCTTATCCTATCAAGGCCTGCGTGCAAGCAAATCGGGTTCTCAAAAGAAGAAAGTCCTCCCAAAGGTTATTAATTCGCATGGAAAATCGAAAACTCGACCAGACTCGGACCAGAGTTCTGTGAAGAAGAAGAAAAGACCAGCTGTGGCTGCTCGTAAGCAGAAAGCCTTAAAGGCTGCTGCTAATGCTTCTTCCCAAGTAGTGGGAACAAAGAGGAAGATTGGTAAACAAACGCCTGCTAGTGGTGGACAAAAGAAGAAAGCGAGGAAGTTTAGGTAAGGATCTCACTTTAAGGGTGGTTTGGACCGTGAACAAGAGAAGTATGAGGGCTTTTTCGTCTTTTTAGTTTTAAACGTTTTATGGTTATATTTTTTCGTTTGTCCTGAATGTAGACGCTCGAGGAAAAACAAAGGAGAATACGTACGCTGTAGATGTATTGTACCTCATTTT